CTCAGCTGATTTTGCTTCATTTTTCTTAGTCCTAGTTTCTTTTGACTGTTCAGTGGACACGCGCTCCATTTGCTTCAAGCGCTCCTCATCTCGGCATTTTCGGCGCTATAACTGGCTCAATTTGAACTCCCATCAGCTCCATTATCTTAAGAAGTGTGAAGCTACCTTCATTAAAAACACTGATACCCAAGCAGCAATTGAAATCACAGTTTTCTTCTGCAAAAACGTGCTTAAATGCTACAAGCTGTGATTACAACTCTTATTGTTGTTTTGAGTGTTCCTTCTTAAGCAGCGCTTTAATAAATCATCTTCAGTTAAACTTTCATAAACTGGTTTAATCATAGCTTGAATCATTTTCTTATGGTGGCTTATGTTCGTATGACTTGTCTTTCTGAGCTTGCAAGTACTTATACCGGTTGATGTCGCAGTTAATGTTGCGGCTTAGAGTCGGTAGAAATCTTGTGGTAAAAATCTGCCCAGATTTCCTCATATTTTCTACAGAATCTGGACGTTGAATTGCCAGACTGTAAGTAGGTAGACATTTCTCTAATAGTTTTCTCAGTGAAATTTGCACAGTATCTTTCTTCTCTTGTTTTCATAGCAAAGTAATCTATTTTTTAACATTAAACATTCGTTCACTTACGTGTAAAACACACTCCAATTTGTTTATTAAAAACTCAACACCGTTCAACTGCCGTTCCAAAACAGCTTTGAATGTTTTTGAGTCGCCATCTCCAATGTAATTTGCATATGCCCGCGCCATGCAGTGCTTGTGATCTCTGAAATATTTCAACAACTCCATCGACTTCCATCTTGCTAAAACTTCCTTTGTGATCAGCTTTGCATTTTTCTTTGTGAACATCCCACCACATATCATATTCTGGTGTGTCAATTCTTTTTTCCAAATCGAACATTCAGAACAGTAGCTCGACTTCACTACAAGATCTAATATTTTATTCGTGTACTTTCCGATCAAAGTTACAACGCCAAATAAAGAAGTGTATGCCTCTTTTTACCCACATTCTACCTCCAGAAAAACATTTAAATCATTCAGCTGCAGAATTTTTCTCTACTTTTTCGTCTTTAGCTTTTTTTAATAATATAGAATCGAAAATAGATTTCAAAACTACTGAAATATTAGTTATTTCTATAGTATTCACTATTGCTTACACCATGAATTCCAACAGTCTCATTACAAAAACAAATTTTTTCAATTTATTTCGAATGCATTGTTGGTAAATGAAGAAGAATTCAGCTTAGTTTCTTTGCAAGAACATGAAACTTGTAAATAAATCCAAGAAATCGTTCATCTGATTTTGTAAAAATAATATCTCCATTGCAATTTTTATACTTTACTAATTGTGTCAAAGGTATAAAAATGTCAAAAAACGAAATGATGCAATAACTAATAAGAGGATTCACTCCGATGCCGAACTGCTTCTTTCCGTTGAATTTTTCTGCAGAAGTACTTATAAATTCTGTCGAGGTTTCAATAATGTGTCGATTTCCGATGGAACTTCCTTGGTGTAGATCGATTATTTCTTGCTTGAGGTTCCTTCTTTTCGATCCAGAGGCATGATTATAGCTTCAAATACAACTTTACGCTACAAAAACCGAACGAAAACTGAAGCGCTAAAGCTATTTCGTTTTGCTCGAATGAGAAGGTTTTAAATGTATTTATGTACACCTTTAAATTTTTCTATGTAACAATGTAGGATTCCCTTTGAATTTCCAAGCAGCTGCTCACAACAACTGTCTGTCTAATCCCCTTATTCAGCTCCGCTACCTGCGCTCCGAACGCCCTTTTACCTACACTTCGAGCGCCGTTCGACTCTCTCTTTTGGCTGTAGAATCGTTAATTCGTCGAATTTTTTTCTGAAATTTTGACATTTTTGTATTCTTGAAATGTTGTACAATCGAAATATGCAATAAAAGAAATCGATTTTTTTTTTAATTTTACACAGAGTATACTCTTAACAAGTTTTTTAAAGAAAAAATAGTTAATATAATTTTATTAGTATATTTTTTGAAATTTATATTATTATAATTTTTATTTATACTCTGCAACATTGTATTTAGTTTATATTTTTGTGATAAACAAAGAAAGAAAACTTTCTTTTTATAACGTTTTTATAACGACGTTGTGTACCTATGACAAATCCACATCATTTTTACGATGTTTGGACGCCATTTTAAACATCATATTCGTCATAAGAATAACTAATTAATAACGTTAAATAGATGACACTTCGCTATCTGGAATTGTATCACTTTGTTTCTTATTTATCTAATTTTTTTTATGAAAAAAAAAGAACGGGTACTTATTAAAACACTATGCGTTTTAAATCCAAATACGTAGTATTCTGTCTATTGAAAAAGTTTAAGTCTAAAACATCTGTAAGTGTTTAAAACATGGGGACAAGTAAAAAACACATTAATTTTTATAATGTTATCTTTGATAATTTTATCTTTTCTTTATTCTTCAAATTATGCACTTTATATAACATCAATTCTTGACATTTGATCAAAAAATCAGCTTCTAGTCGTCCGGACGACGACGGTATTATTAGGTCGATACGGTGTTCTACGTGGAGACCCTTTCACATTCGCGAAATCATGTCCGAACATCTGATTCTATCCGCCACTGAGAACAAGCTAAATGAACTCAATAAAAAGATTGTTGAGATCAAGAAGAAAATCCAGTTGTCAGGTAACGGCTCAAATTGTATAAAACATCCTTCGCTAATTTTTAGCGTTTCTGACAACCCTGCACGAGTCAGTGCTACAAAATTGCTCTACGACAAAGTTGCAGAGTCAGAGCTTACTCTTATATAGGGTGTACTACTTTGATCATTTTACTAATGACAAATTTTCCTAAATGTTTTAAATTAATTCATTTTATGAAAATTTAAAAAAAATTTTTTAATATTCTGAAGCATCTATTTTCGAGTAATATAAAATAACTAACTTCTACAGAATTTCTTTAAAAAAAAACACCTATATATAATTAATTCAACACTATTTTTACCCTTTTTTTATATGTTGTTTTATACTTCTTTTAAATATTTTACAGTGGAGATTTTTCTGATATTCCAAAAAAATAGATAAAGATAAGAATTAAAATATTACAATGAATCTTGATTTCAAAATTATGAAAAAATTTTCAGTCCAAGAATAGTGGATTGAAATGCAATGAAACACTATATATTTTAATTTTTATATTTGTTACACCTCTGCAAGGCGTGCAACCAAAAAGAGACAGCTCACTGACATTTCAGAATCGTGATCGTATTATACAAAGATAAATATGAACAAGATATCGAACTGGAATAACCAGTATCTGAGATGGCACGTCTTGCGTATATAAAAATAGTAGTCTCAAAAGTAGACTGAAAAAGGAGAGGAAAGGGGAAAATCAGATGAGATACAATCAATTAAATTGCATGTCATAGGACAACGCTAGAAGATTATATTTACATTGCATAATTATTGGTCGAGATAGATTATCATGTCATTAAATATAGAGGGAAAAAAATTATGAAGAAATGTGGTTAACATACAATAGTTCTATAATTTCATATATATAAATTAAAAATACTAAAAGCTTGTTATCTACAAATAGAGACAATATTTTAATTAGATATTTATATTAATTCACGACCAAAAAAATCAAATACTTATTTATCGATATTATGTCTTTCTGTATATTTTTTGTGCTGTATTATTATATTAAATAATTTTCTTTAATTACATTATTTTATTTATAAATA